TAGCTTTTGGTAGAGCTGCCTCTAATTTTGCAATTCTCTCCAATTGCTAATTGCAACAACTGGACCTCCATCTGGGACCTGTGCAGATCCCCCTCAACATGGCTACCATTTGCACTCATACTGTTGTTTCAAACTCGTCCTCAACCGGCGGATCAAATTTTGCAGATCGCACCCAACGGAAACACCTCCTATCTCTTCGTTGAATAAGCCAGACGTAACAAAAGAAAATGATGAGAAGCAATATAGAGACTACAGCCAATGAAGCCACAACCCATAGTATTGTTGTATACATACACAACATCGACCAATCACAATGCAGGAAATAATACTCGAAACCTATTCCCGGAAAGTTGATCACAACAAAGCTATCACGACTGAATCCCACTTCTGACACCAAATTGTGACTTCACGCCCTTCGCGCGGAGCGGTGCCCGAAAGAGGGCGCCCTCTCCGCAGGCGTGGCGCGGACGGCACGTACCGGAAAGTCCCTGAGCGGCTAGAGACGAGTCCATTGGGACAGAAGTATACCGTCCCGGCCGGATAGCTGGTTGTTTGTTTGGGTGTGTGACCGGGCGGTTTCCTCCACAATGATTGGCCTAAAACTTAATGACGTAACTGAGAGAGACAACCAATGAACAGGCTTGGGACACCAGTTTCATTTACCAAAGAAATGATGACCACAGTCTTATTTACTCCTCCTGTAATCACAAAAAGGCCCGGATATCGGACCGCAAGAAATCAACAGAGGACGCTCTATAATTCAAACATGAGCAGAAGGGTGCAATAAACTTATGAGATACGCAAATGTAATGATAAGAACCTCCCTATGTACATTGAATGGAGAGCTATGCGATGTAACTGGACGTTGACTTAGAGCAGTGCACCCCACAATTATTTGTGTGCATCCAGTGCCTCCACGGGAACTTAAATAAATCTTAGGGCTATCTTAGGGCTACGCCCCTCGCAACTACCGCTGCAAGATAAGCGATCTACCCTCATCGACCGTAAGCTCCTATAAGGAACTCTACCGCACCACCAATAGCCCGTTCGACCCACCAAGCTCCCAAGTGACACACGCACTACTCAAGGCTCTGGCCCAGTCACGCTAAGCTAGGTGACATGCATTCAACCCTACATAGGATTGATTATGATCCTTACCATCAGGACCTGGCCATGTAAAACAAGACCGTCTAAACTACTCGCTTTGCGCTCGCCTTTTATAGCCTCACGGGCAAGCCAAAAAGCCGTACGCGCCTGCGTGCGCGCGCTGCACGTCACCGAGCAGTGACTCATTTGCCCAATGAATGTACGCGCAAGGCGGGGCCTAAGCGCTGCCTATGCTTTTACTACACGCATTACTCGCGCAAACAAAAGTGCATCAACCATTATCGCGCGCTAGCGTATGCTATTTAAACGGCGCCCTCTGCTGCGTCACAATATTGTTGTTTATGAGACACTCTATAAAAGAAAAAACATGCGGGCTTCCGGGGCTAGTGAAAATACCTGCATAGTAAAGAGTTTTTTGAACAATTGGCCCGGCTCAGTAGGACACAAACAGATGAAGGTCCAACCTTGGGTTATGGTTACCCCCCCCCCCCCCACAGCTCTGTACTTTATTTTACATATCAATTCATTAAAAGTAATCGACCCTCCCCTGCTCTGACACCCACACATAAATATATTGGTAATAATGTCCTCCTGTGCACAAAATACGGACAGAGCCAGCTTGGTCAGGTGTTTTTTTACACTATTCTGTAATGTAAATTAAACAATCGGATTTGAACAGCGCCCCAATTGAAAGTATGGTTCGAACCCCCTCCCCCCCCCCCCGCCGGCCCGCCCTCCACTATTGATTTTACAAAAGCCAAGCCCCCCAAAATGTGCATTTTTTTCTAGCATAAAACTGTGATTAATGCGGCCGATGCTTTCGGCAGCATTAATCACAGTTTCATGCTAGAATCTCTTAAAGCTTATGGATATCCTGACATGTTAATTAATTTAACTAAGGATATCTACAGTCATTCCACGTTTGAGGTAGAGACATGTAATGGTTTAACAGATGTAGTGTAGTACTGTGGCCTCGTGGTTAAGGGCACTGATTCGTGGTCTGCGGGTAAAGCTGCAGGTTGTGTGTTCGAATCCTGTCGGGGTCATGGTGCGTGTGCCCTTGAGCAAGGCACTTTGTCACTCATTGCTTCTCTCCACCCAGGAGTAAATGGGTACCTGTGAGGGCAGAGATTGTTATTGTGATTGAATTAGCTTCCTTGCGCCTAACAGGCTGCATCGAGCTGTATACTCCCCAGGGAGCTGAGATGGTATTTAGAATGTCTCATGTGCCCAATGAGCAGGGGTAATAATGATGTAGCGCCTTGATCACCAGTTTTGGTGGATACGTGCGCTTTATAAATATCCACTATTATTATTATTTTTATCCCATTAACAGAACAATATGTATTATTCAGGGCTGTCCATTTTTGGTGCTGTTGTTTGAGCAGGGGATCGACATCTGGCTCAGATGGATGTGGGGTAATATTCCTTACCCAACGATACCCTGCCCAGTCCAAGCATACGTGGATGACATAGCCCTGGTTACCACCTCTGAATGCATTCTGCAGGACATGTGTCAACGGAAATGTTCCTTAATTCAACGAGCATGAAGATCAAACATAGAATATGTGCCATCCTGCGTGGCCAAAGGTCTGGTAATAACTGGTACAAAAACGATGGAAATGGCAAAGTTCAGCCCGCGGTGGTGCAAGGTCAACCCATCCCTAAATTCAGTAAAGCTGGTTCTTATGCCTACCTGGGTTTTGAAACTAGTCTGGATAGCAAAGCATGTACCTCTCAGCTGGACAAGATCTCTGCTGAGTTTCAGCAGAGGCTGAACCAAACTGCCATTTCTAAACTCAATTTTACATGTGTAATATCTCATTCCCATTGAACAGATTGTCAGCAATTGAAGATGTGATTGTAGGTCATAGTCGAGGTTGGCTTGGACTGAACACATTGAGTAACCGTGATATCATGTTTATCCCCAGAAAGATGGAAGGCCTTGGTGCGTGCAGTCCAACGACAATGTACATTGCTAAAAGAGCTTCCTTTTTTTAGAAACACTCAATTCTGACGACCCCCAAACAAGATCAATGGCTCGAAATTCTCTGGAACTACACATGACGAAACGCAAGGCACCGAAATATGTCGACCCAGATAGAGGAACCTTCCTTTGGTGGGTTCCAGGTGGATTGGCAAGGCAGGGTGAATAAGGGTGGTAATGTCAACTGACCGAAATCTGTCTGGGTGGAACTAAATGAACTGCTCATGCGTGGACACCGTCTATTAGAAGACCATGCGGATGAATTTGTCATTTTTTTCAGCTGCTGATGAAACTGTGTCTCTGGCCTTCCGCTCATCACCCGCACTGTTTGCCCACCTGAAACATAAACATACACTTTGTAGAGCCAGCAGACTAAAATCAAAATCCTCCCAGGGACGAGTGTGCGGTAGTCAAGGAATCGACCTCAAACTTTCGACCGGTTACCTAAATAACATTAACATAAGTTACCTTAATAACAAAAATAAATATATTGGTGAATACTGACAGAGCTAGCTTGGTCAGGTGTATTTTTACACTATTCTGTAATGTAAATTAAATAATCGTCGGATTTGAACAGCGCCCCAATTGAAAAAATGTTCGAACCCCCCCAGCCCACGCTCCACTATTGATTTTACGAAAGCCAAGTCCCCCAAAAATGTGATTTTTTTCATCAATGATTTACTGATGAACCCCCCCCCCTCCCCACGCCCGCCAAAATTCCTGGATCCTCCCCCTGACGGGGCAATGCACGTATCGGGGTTTTTATTTTTTCCCAATTACCAGCACGGGTTTGTTGGTTGCGTGTATTTCACAGCATGAATAGTTGTGTGAATCAGTAACATCCTGAAAATACCAAACGGAATATTTACTGATTTAGAACATGGACACGATGACAGTAATGCAGTTCATGTTTATTATTTGCTGCCAATTAATAACTTAATGACAATGTTCACCCCCTCCTTTGCCACAGGGAACTTTCAGGTGTCCCAACACCTCCAAATGCATCGTCTGTAGACAACACATCAGAGAATCGGACTCCTTCACCAGCCATACCGCCGGGTTCCACCCATAGGACAAGGGGTCATGTCACCTGCACCACCGCTAATCTAATCTATTTGTTATCTTGCAAAGTTTGTGGTGTTCAATATATAGGTGGAACGAGAACTACACTCAAGAGACGTTTCTACGGCCACAGATCCACAGTCAACACCCATAAGCTGGATACACTCATAAGACATCATTTCAATCTTCCTAATCACTCAATTTCTGACATGATTTTACAGGGCATTGAGGCCCTAGGAAACCACAGAGAGATTGTTCGTCTGAGAAGAGAGAAATTATGGATGAGATGTCTTCAGACCATTCAACCCCATGGTCTGAACATCCAAGAAGGAAATGACTAATAACTTTTTGTCTTTGCCTTCTCCTTTTTACCACAGATAAGCCCCCCCCCAGTCTGCCTCATTCACAAATTAACTACCTTTCTCTCCCTCTCCCCATCATTGACTTTGTCCTTTGTGTTCCCCACCTCTTGTGGTCAACCATCCCCTTCCCCCAATTTCCCTCCCTTTTGTTACCCTCCTTTCTGTTCAGCCGCCTGCTTTCTCTGTGTATATTCCTCTATATCATCTATTTCCACTTGACTGCTTTTGTTACATCAGTAATGTATACATGTACCTGTTTATGTTTATAGTCTTGTCATTTAGCCTTCGAGAAAGACTCTGTTAGGGTCGAAACGTCAGGCCACTAACTTTTTTTTTTTGAATTAATAACTTCTGTAAATATTGATTGAACAAAACTCTACAAATACGAAGTTCAATATTCATGACTCACATTTCATACAACAAAAACCCCAGGCAGCTCCAGCTGCATGTAATTGCATAACCTAATGTCGACATTGCGAAGGATGGCATTGCGCTACTTTGCCGACGTTCAAAATGCCATTGACAAGATCGAACGTGAATATTAACAAGTTGTAACATTCAAATTAAGAAAGAACAAACTTCCACAATGCGATATTAAGCAACGTGCAACGTGCATATTGCGAAGGTACAACGTCAATATTAAGAAGTTGCAAGGTTCATATTAGAAAGGTCAATATTAAAATGTCGTTCCAAGGGCCATCGCAGGGCAAAGAGTTTACGAATTGGAACGCATGCAGAAAGTTGAATTGTCAAGTCAGAAGAGCTATGTTCGATTTTTTTAATTGAACAAAATGAATTTCGACATTTAAAAACATCGAACATTTTGAATGGCCCAAAATGCAGTAGGCTTACACCTGAAACAAACATTGTTTCCTTCTGATTGTCGTATAGTTGTAAAAAATACCAAGTTGATATTTTATTAGCCACATTGGTTTATAGAGCGACCATCATGGCATTATTGGCTTGCATCTATGTTTTAATTTAATTAATTCCAAAGTGCTGTTGGTTGGTGTGGAGAGCCAGCAGAGGGTGTGTTACTCCGGTCCCCCACCGGAACCTGATCCTGATAATCCGGATGACTGGATGAAGCAAGTCATGCAAGAGATACGGAAGCGTTGCCCGGGAAGGAAGCAACCCACCCTAGCGGGTAGTCGTCCTACGATTACCCATACCTTAGGTATGACTTACAAGCATGTGGATGTGTTCTATTACAAGGTTAGGTATTGTATTGAGATCGAACTTTTTTGTTTACCGAATATCAAGGTTCATCGAAGACTGCAAATGACGTTAAACGCCTGCTAAAATGAAATATGTTTCCTGTAAGGTTGTTTGCTTTAAAAATGTTACACGACTCTTCCCAATTTGAAAAAAAAATTCAGGTGTTTTTTTGCAATCTCCTAGACCTTGTGCCAAGTCGGTAATTGTTTTGCGTACGGTAACCGGTTACTGGTTCCAGGCACGAAAAATATCGCTGCAATGCGCGTAGTCTAGTTCTAAGACCAAATGATGCTGACTTTTTCTGATAAATTACCGACCTGGAGAAAACGTTTTCAATTTTTTACACAGCATCAGCCCGGTGTCACGGTCTCACTTCTCCGGCGTGCTAGCTTCTCCGGGTTGATTCGGCGGATATTTGAGCACGTTACATGGCACGTTGCATGAGCACGATACATGCTCAAGTGTCCGCTGTGCTTACTTTTCTTGGGGCTGTTCTCAAGTCCATAAATAACACAGTGAGGAACACCAAAGAATGTGTTATATAACACTTCCTGTGGGTCTTGCAACTAGCATTCTGATTTGTGATCCCAGCGTCATGTACGTGTGCGTGTTCATTGAGGAATAATTAAGAACGAAATCCTTGGTCTGTGTTCCTTGCTCGTTCGCGGTCCATCACATGTCCAATTTGTCTTTATTTTTGCAACCACCACGGTTTAAACAAATGTGCATCAAGTCTTTTTGGTTATTGGGAGTTGCGAGCGGGTGCGCCGCGCTACCAAAATTCTGGATTCGACTGGTACCCAGTAACGTGTACATACAATATCTAAAGATCTTACGTGCACCATCCCAAAGAACTCAGCACACAAATAAAGTTGGCAAAAATGTACACTACTGCGCAATTTTGTGCATGCGTGTTGCAGCGAAATTTCCCTCTTGGAGAAGCTAGCACGCCGGAGAAGTGAGACCGTGACACCGGTTCATGCTCTGCGCGAAAGAGAAAACGAACGCGAATTTGTTACGTCGTGGCAAGTATTCGCGCTGCGAATTCGTAAAAGTTCAACATATTTCAACTCGCAAATTTTTCATGACGCGAATTTTTATCCGAGCACTCTGATTGGTTTTCATTCCAAAATTCATTTTAGGCCTATATGGCATAGACGACTTATATATATCAAGTATATCACAATGATACATTTTAATTCTATAATTGACCAAGCTGTTTGTATTTTTTGTAAAACTGTCTTCAGATCTGCAAACATGTCCCTGACGTATTGAGAAGACCTCCCCTTTCAAAATGTTTCTCACTGCCATATTCGAGGGAGGGGGAGGCTTTTTATATTTGCGATAACGAGGCCCTACTATCAATCTGAAAACTACCCCAGATGGTACGGGGAATCCTACCCCAGCCGGTACGGGGAAACCTACCCTAGCTGGTACGGGGAAACCTACACCAGCTGGTACGGAGAAACCCATCCTTCCCCAAGCTGGTCATGCTCGTTGAATTTTCTCCCAAATTAAAAATATTTCACTGCCAATTTCGAGGGAGGAGAAGGCTTTTTTCCTATTTGCAATAACGAGGCCCTACTATCAATCTGATTTTTGGTAAGGTGAAATTTGCAGTTATGATTATGCGCTTTACTCCCAAACAAAGTTGAGGATCAAATTATCTTTCTCACAATAATGTATATTTTTTTATCAATATGCATTAGTCTTTCATTTGCCTACTCATTTGTTACCAGCAGTGTGTTCCAGTCCGCAACCCCTTGGTATGGAGGACGGGACAATCCGAGATAATCGAATCACTGCGTCCAGTAGTAGCGACTGTTGCGCTGCCCGTTATGGACGCCTCAACCATTTCAACAAAAGATGGATAGCCTTGAGGTAGGTATCAAGGGGAGATGCCACACCTGACACTTCACTGCCATATCTTTATTCACGCTGTATCATTACAATGTCACAAAACGCTCCTTATTGTGTTTAGTTAACAATATGTTATTCGCTCTTTTCACTCTTCCGCCATGATATGCAGAGGCTCGATCTGGCAACCTTACACAATAAATATAGCCGGTTCAGTGATTCCTGTGTCGGGGTTCAGATCACTGAACCAGCTATTTTTATTGTGTAAAGTTGCCAGATCGAGGCTGTGCATGCCCAATGGCGGAGCGTGAAAAGAGCGAATTGCATAAATGGGTTTTGTTTTTGTACAGTTTGTTTTATTTTGTTAGCTGTTTCGGTGACACACCGAAACAGCTCTGTTTTTTGTTAAAATTGTTTGTTTCTTTTTTGTTTCTTTTTTGTTTCTTTTCTCCTTTTTCAGACTTTTTCTCCAAAGGTTTTGTACACGTTTCTTCCACCAGTCCACTTTGGCACTTTTTTTAAAAATCCGATCGACCTCAGACTTGATACATACTTAGACCACCACCCACAAATGGTCCTAGAAGAATTTCGTGATCGTGACGTCATCAGGTGTCGGGTTACCTCACATTAAAGATGCATTTTTCCCCAAAGGGTTTGTACACGTTTTAAAACACTCTACTTTGACACCTTTGTAAAACCGTTCGACGTTAGACTTGGTACACACCTAGACTACCATCCACAGATGGTCCTAGAAGAAATTTGTGATCGTACCAATGCCGAGATGAGTCACGTGACGTCACTTAAAGGGGCATTTTGTTCTTTATAGGCCTATATTTTATACAGACCTATCGTTCGATTTGGTTGTAACTTGACATGTACACATAATGTGGTGTTATAGACGTCATTTTGAGTGACGTCAATGATTGTTCATCACGTGCACAGAGTATTTCAAATATCCGAAACAGCTTGTGTTTGTCCACGACCACATTTCTAGTTTCGCATTGTTTTTCTGTTTTGGTTTCCTTGTCATTTTACAAAAAAATCTCATTCCATGCCTAAGCCCAACCCGGACTCATGTGCATTTGATTTGCACACTGTAACGAGTTTCAATAATTGTGTTCGATTTTCAAATCCATCCCTCAAACCGGGTTTGTGGAGTATTGTTATTTCATTGTTCCTCGTCCTCTCTTCACTCTGTGTACAGTGACGACGCCAATCCCTGGATCGAGGTGGACCTCGTCCAGAGTACAGTGGTGACTGGAGTCACCACAAAAGGCAGCGGCTATATATATGTGAAGCGGTACAAGGTGGCGTATCAGCAGCAGCCTTCTTTCGACCGTAAACACGTAACAGATGGAAAAGGAAACATCCAGGTAAACATCAATCCTAACCAAGTCTTGCTGTAAGATAAATTTAACTTTGTTTAAACTGTTTTGAAAAAAAATTTAAACGTATTTTTTTCTTATCATATTTTGTTTGGTCTCTATTGCAATATGGCAACTGCATTCTGTGCGACTTTGTTTGGTTCCATGCTAATGCAACCAATGGGCTACTCTAAAATTGTGTCTTGAATTAAAAACGTAAATGGAACCAACAATACTTTCAGATCATGTGAACAAGATTGACAAATTGTATGGAGTGAGTTTACTTAGCTATTTGCAAGACGATGAGATTTGAGCAGGACATTTTTTGACACGAAGTAGCAGCCAAAAAGTAACATCAGAAAAGATTGATGCAACTTACTCTCATAGAAATATTATTGAAGAGAAAATCCCCCCCCCCCAAAAGCAAAATGCTCCGAAGCTGAAAAAGAAACCCATAATAAGCCCAGTCAAGAGATGTCTATATGGCTGAACATGATCTAAAAAGTGAGTCCCTACCCAGGACAAACAGTTTACTTTATACATTCATTAACACCCCTTCAGGAAATAATGCCAATGTGTTGGTAGTTTTGGTCCTAGACTTTACGACAAGTAGGCTATTTTGTTACAAATGCTCGTTGATTGCGTTGGAATTCATTTCAGGTGTTCATCGGTAACACTGATGACGACACCCCGGTCACTAACCTGTTTGATGAGAGTGTGGAGGCCACGGTAGTGCGCATTGAGCCTACTGAAGTGTATGGCGGTGCTCTGCAATTGGAGCTGCTTGGATGTCGCCGTGATTAATTCAGCTGAAGCAATAAGGTGATTCTCTCCAACAGCGCTGACAAAATTTCACTCTATAGAAAGGTTAATGCGACGGTTGATAATATTAAGATTGAAAATAAATACATGTACTATGTTTGGTGGGAGGAATATTTATGACAAAGCAAGAATACACTGAAGATTTAGAATAATCACTACCGACTCTTATGAGTTTTGTTGTCTTTAAATAAATAAGCATCTCGCGGAAAAATACACTAGGGTAATGCTCACATTGTATATTACAATAAATGAACCTATTATCTCCAAGTTTCGTTCGTGGAATGCAACATTATTTGAAATTGAAAAAATGTCAAAAAAGAAAAAAATTACCTCATGAATAATGAAAGTAAAGTATGTGTGTGTTTTTTTGTAAGTATTTCTGCTCTAAATAGAAACGTCTTAAACTATTGCAGTATTTTTGTTCTATAGTTTTTTATAATTGCATATATCGTAGTGTTGGAGTCGAGTCCTCAAATCCGAGTACAAGTACTCCGAGTACTTTAGAGACTGAGTCACGGGCCGAGTCCAAGTACACTGTGATTTCCCTAGGCAACGGACAATACCTGTGCTTGAAATGTGCTCACGAAACACTGCATGTGCAGAGGGACAAGGATTTTGCTTGGGAAAATCCCGAAAATGGCCTCACTGGTAACCGTGATGCGGCGAGCTGACATAAGAAGCATGGTCTTGGCTGACTCCACATTCGCGAATCATCACTGCTACGACTTCGAATGTTAGTAGTAATTTGAGAGGCGGGAACTAGACTTGGCCGTAATACAGACTGAAACTGCGCTAGCGTTGCGTTACAGGTTGAGCTATGGAATCGATTAACAAAAAATGTACTCGATTTTTACTCCCGAGTACAGGAGTCCAGTACCGAACACCAAACCATCAAGGCCGGGCAAAATTCGAGTACAAAGAATCGAGTACGGGCCAAGTTCAGTTTTTTTTTCGAGCACTAATAGTCGAGTTCGGGCCGAGTACTTGCGTGTACTCGAGTAAGAAAGAGTACGGGTACGAGTATTCAAAGACTGATATTACGCTGTTTATTGTGCTTTTATCGTAAATCTTCAATACAATGTAGAAAGTTTCCATACAGTATTCTATATAAATACATGTACGAATTGTTAAAGGTGATACTTCACAGACAAAAAAAAGAAGGTCGCAGTGGCTAGTTGCAAAACCATCTCGAGAATTCAATTATTTTTAGTGATCAAACTTTTTGAGTAAAGTCCGGTTCATGCTTTACAGGTTTGCAATTGCAAACCGCATTTGACGTCGGGAAAACGTTCGCAACGAAATGCGTTGATGTTATGACAGGTGTTAAACTTTTGCGAATTTGTGACAGGAAAACTTGGCATGACGTAACAAAGTCGCGTGCGCGTTCGCTTGCGTGCCGAGTATGAACCAGTGTAAAATGCGTTATTTGCTTTTTTATGTTCAAGCATTTCATTAACTGAAGTATTGTGCTGTAAATATAAGAAGGTGAATTCACGATATCAAATCGTCATACAATAATTTACGTGTATATTTTGGTATAAGGTGTATAGTGTATTGCTGCCGTAATGTAACATTTGTATTGAAATCTGTATTTGTTGTGTTCGATATGGAAAACATTTAAATGCAAATTCGTGTATACATTGATGTGTAACAAAGTAAATAAGTATGGTGTTGGACAATCATTTCTCAATTATATCATTGGTACGCCTAATTGCTAGGATGCATAGGACATCAAAATACCCTAACTTCTATCATAACTATCCGGATCAAATAGAGTGGAGTAAGAGAGAGTACGGGTACGAGTATTCAAACACTGATATTACGCTCAAAACTTTTTGAGTAAAGTCCGGTTCATACTTTACAGGTTTGCAATTGTAAAGCGCATTTGACGTCGGGAAAACGTTCGCTACGAAATGTGTTTGTGTTAAAAGGTGTTAAACTTTTGCGAATTTGTGACAGGAAAACTTGGCATGACGTAACAAAGTCGCGTTCGCGTTCTTTTGCGTGCCGAGTATGAACCGGTGTTAAATGTGTTCTTTGGTTTTTTTATGTTTAAGCATTTCATTAACTGAGGTATTTTGCTGTAAATATAAGAAGGTGAATTCGCGATATCAAATAGTCATACAATAATTTACGTGTATATTTTGGTATAAGGTGTATAGTGTATTGCTGCCGTAATGTAACATTTGTATTGAAATTTGTATTTGTTGTGTTCGATATGGAAAACATTTAAATGCAAATTCGTGTATACAATGATGTGTAGCAAAGTAAATTAGTATGGTACGTGTTGGACAATCATTTTTCAATTATATCATTGCCACGCATAATTGCTAGGATGCATAGGACATCAAAATACCCTAATTTCTATCATAACTATCCAGATCAAATAGAGTGGAGGGTCAATTTGTGTTGATAAGAAGAAAACAACATGAATATGACCACATGTTAATAGTGTGATGTTCATTTGATACCGAGCTGCCATAACAAGAAGCTAAGGGGAAGGAATCTTTATCTCATTGAAGCACATACTTACCAATATTGTTCAATTATAATTCAAATGCTTGTTACGCTCTGTGAATATGTACATGCTTGTGAAATGCTTGTGAAATCTCACATAGAAAACATGCACTCGTTTAATATTTAATTTATCAGTTGATGTTCTTTGCGTATTGAATATGAGGTGGGCGAAACGACTTGCTGCCTGTCCAACATTTGATTGTAATGATAACATACACCAGAAATGTAGAGAATAAAATCCGACTTTGTTCTTTGCGCGTGTTTAGCAAAGTCTCGTAATCAAGGTACTGTTATCGTCTGTACCAACTTTATTTTACCACCAGAGAGCGCCCAGCAACACTGACACATTCCTATATAACCCAACGCCCCATCCTACACAATACTTTCGTTGTTTTGCTCTGTTTACTAGCTGTTTGTATATAATTTAAAGGCAATGAGACCCTGAGACAAGGAGCTTAAAGGTAGAAGTTTCAGTATCATAATCACTGAGCCAAGTGTACAAATCGGATCGCGACGCTCCGTTAAGTTGCATCTATACCGGATAGGATGTATTTATGCATGGAATCTATGGGCAAATGACTATTAAGGCTTCCCTTCCATTGTCACCAAGTGATTGGATTTAATATTTCATATTTCAATTCCTTCTGACGGCGTATCCTATCAACACTGCCCTGAACATCGAAGACACAATATCTTTCACATTACGGCCCTCCTGGTGCGTATCGTTTTCTAAAGGTTCATTGTATACACGGTTGTGTAATTATCTAGACCAACCTTGATTGCTGCTGAGGATTCTGTGTTTATTACCGGAAGCCGTTTCCGCCGTACACGGTGCCGCACCGTTTCATATCCATTCGTGAATGTTTATGGCTGCGATGGTCGTCAAGATGGTCCTTTTTCTCCACAAGCTATTTTGTAAAAATTGGCAACTGTAATTACAAGGGGGATACCCATTGGTTGTTACGTTACCCGCTTCCAGCGTTAGCTCCACCTATACTGTAAGATTGAACAAATCAGAAACGTTTCTGCTTTCGTTGCTCGTTCACGATTGGCTAGACTTGCTATGACGTCAGTCTGTTCGCGGTCTGCAGCTGCTTTGCAGCTGAGGTGAGCGAGTGGCGTTTTGTACTCAGTGATATACGTCTGTTCACGACCATTATGGCCGTTTGGTCGATTACGTCCGACAACAGATTTTGACGAGCAATGGCCAATTATGTCCGACCCATTATGTCCGACGTCCGATTATGTCCGACCCATTGTGTCCGACGGCCGATTATGTCCGACCCATTGTGTCCGACGACGGGATACGTCCAACCTATTGTATTTAGATGGTCGATTACGCCGGATTCATTTGGTTGTGTACTGACATTATTAAATTATCTTTGGATTGTAACTGCAGATATTTGGCTATAGAGCCGTCGCAGATTTCTAATTTGAAAAGTTACTATTGGTAGACGAGTAATTTCTAACTTTTCAAAATGGCTGCCATTGCTTGTTAATACACATATATATTTTTTTTCAAAACATAATCGGCCGTCGGACACAATGGGGCGGACATAATCGACCGTCGGACACAACTCTGGTTAAAATAAGAGCATTTTGGCATTAGTACACGAGAACGAAGGAAGTACCCCACTTATATGCTTGTGTAAGCGTGTGTGTTTGCGTAATTATGCACGCACGGTTATAATTATCGTTGTTGGCTGGGCATTGTGCGCGCACTTGTACTCGCCGGCCGTGGTGACCGTCCGTGCACGGTGACGATGTTTGTGGTTGCGCGCAGTTAATTCGGGAATCTTCGCCCCCATCGGCATGATGCCTAATTTTGTTTTACATGCCATGGGAATAATTTTCCAACCTGAAATATGTTCGATCCATGCCAAAACAATGCACGAATCAAATTAGCTAAAAAAAAATTAAAAATGGAAAGTCACAGAGCTCGCTTTCCATGCATGTACACGTACGTGCGTGCGTGTGCGTGCGAGCATATACATGGGTAGTCTTTCGTCAAGGCCACCATGCCTTATCTTGCCGGCATTATACCAAACGGCGAAGATGCCAAGCAACTGGAGCGGGAGACCACAAATTGAGCTAAATTGAACCCGGCTTGTAAGAAGAACCTTCTCCGTAATATTGAATAAACCTTCTCCCATTTTGAAACCATTGCTGCTGCTGCTGTTGTTGCTGCTGTTGCTGTTGTTGCTGCTGCTACTGCAGGCTGCTGCTGCTGCTGCTGGCTGCTGTTGCTACTCATGTTTCTGCTGCTGCTGCTGTTGTAACTGCTGCTTTTGTTGTTGTTGCTGCTGCTGCTGCTGCTAATGCTGCGATGTTGCTGCTGCTGCTGTTGGTGATGCTGCTGTTGTTGCTGTTTGTGCTGCTGCTGCTGGCTGCTGTTTGTGCTGCTGTTGCTGCTGTTGCTGTTGTTGCTGCTGCTGCTGTTGTTAATATTGTTGTTGTTGTTGCTG